GGGAGCCTGGCCCCCCGGGCTCTCTCCAGCCTGGGGGGGTGTGGGAGCTGGGGCTGGGGGGTTCCCAAGGCTCACTTGGGTTCTCCCCAGCTCTGGGAGGAGAGCAAGGGCCGGAGGGGGGGAGAAGGGGGGGGCCGGCAGCCTGGGTCCTCTCCAGCTCTGGCAGGCGAGCGGAGGGGGAGTGGGTGCGGGAGGAGCAGCAGAGCGGTGCCCGCGGCGGTGGCTGGCTGGCAGAGGCGCGTGCGCAGACAGATAAGTAGGCAGGTAGGTGTGTGCAGAGGGATGCAGGGAGAGGACGGATGCGGGAGGGAGCGACAGAGGAGACAGAGAGGATGGATGGGACCCAGGTGGGCAGCCCCTGCTCCCCCCACCCCAGACCTGGAGAGAACCCAGGAGTCCCGGCTCCCAGTGCCGCCCCCCCGCCAGAGCCAGGACCCCAGGCGTCCCACCCCTGCCCACCCTGCGGCTCCGTGGAGGCAGGGGCTCCCTCCCTGGGGCCTCGTTCATCAAAGCCCCGTTAATCCAGCTCCTGGAGCGCATTAATGATCAGGCTGGGCCCGCAGAGATGGGGGGGAGGCTTGGGCTCGCTGGCTGGCCCCCTCAATGGAGCGGGCTGCGTGTGTCCTGGATGCCTGGGGGGGGGGTGTGTGCGCGTGTGTGTTTGCGTGTGTCCTGGATGCCTGGGGTGCATGCGTGTCCTGGATGCTTGGGTGTGTGCGAGTCCATCCTGGGTGCTTGGGGTCTGTGTACATCTGTGTGTGTGCACACGTGTGTTCTGGATGCCTGGGGTGTGTGCATGTCCTGACTGCTTAGGTGTGTGTGTGTGTGTGTGTGTGTCTGTCCTGGGTGCTTGGTGTGTGTGTGTGTTGCCTGGATGCCTGGGGTGCGTGTGTGCATGCGTGTCCTGGATGCTTGGGGGTGTGTGTGTGTGTGTGTGTGTGTGTGTGTGTGTCCATCCTGGGTGCTTGGGGGGTGTGTGTGTCCGTGTGCGTCCCGGTTATGTGTGTGTGTGTGCAAGTGTGTGTATCCACATGTCCCCAGATGCCTGGTTCTGCGCGCGTGTGTCCACACACCATCGCTCCCTCTGTCCTCTTCAGAAAGGCCCCACGGGGGCTGTCCGCACAGGTGCACTCGTGTGTGCTGGTCCGTAACTCACCGCATCAGCTCTCTCTGGGTAGTGTGCGTGTGCGCGCGCGCGCGTGTGTGTGTACATGTGCGGGTGTTGGCTCATAGCTCACGGCCACCATTCTTGCAGCCATGCCAGCCTCCTCCCTGGCTCTAGGAGAGCAGGGGGGGCTGGGAGCCCGGACACCTGGGTTCCCCCCCTTGCTTTGGGAGGGGAATGGGGGCTGCGGGGTGAGAGCCAGGCATTACACACAATACAGACCAGCAGAGCAGAGCATGGAGGGCCAGGCCCCGGGGAAGGGGCTGGAGCACGCTAGGACACAACTGCATGCATCACAGACCACCGAGACGAGGGTGTGATGCCGAAGCCCTGGCAAAGCAACATGGAGCAGGCAAGGGGAGGGCATTATGGGAAGATGGGCCACCAGAGCCAGCCCAAGGGCATGGGACACGCTAGGTACCGAGGGCCGTCCATGGACTGCCAGGGCAGCGCACAGAGCAATGGCCCGGCAGGGCAAATCTACAACCTGCAATGACCGGGTGTTACATGAGACACGGGCTGCCACGACTCAATGTTACACGGGACACGGGCTGCCACGACTGGGCGTTATATGGGACATGGGCTGCCACGATTGGGTGTTACACGGGACACGGGCTGCCATGACTGGGTGTTATATGGGACACAGGCTGCCACAGCTGGGAGTCACATGGGACACAGGCTGCCATGACTGGGTGTTACACAGGACACGGGTTGCAACAACTGGGCGTTACACGGGACACGGGCTGCCACGACTGGGCGTTACACAGGATACATGCTGCCCTCGCCAGGTGTCACACAGCACACATGCCACCATGCCCAGGCATTACATGAAACACGGGCTGCCACCACTGGGCATCACACACGACCAGGCGTTACACAAGATACAGACTGCTGACAGGTCGCTACACAGGATACGGACCACCAATGACCGGGAACCACGTGGAACGGGCTGGCAGAGCCACCCCAAGAAGGCCACTGTGCAAGGGAAGCGACAAGATGGCCGCTGCAAGTGCCTCCTGCCACTTCAGCCCCCAAAATGGCCTCCTGGTCATGCCAAGCAACAAGATGGCAGCTGCCTGGGCAGGATATCTGCTTTCCCGTCGTTAACATCAATCTCTCCCTAACGAGCTGGGCCACCCGCTCAGTGGTCTCCTAGTCATGCTATCAACAAGATGGTCGCCACCCTGGACGACTGCTTGCTCTTCTCCCATTAACATCATGTTCTCTCCAAGAAGCGGCTCAGCTCCAAAATGGCCCCCAGTCCCGCTAAACAAGATGGCCGCTGCCCTGAGGTCTGCCCCGCTCTCGTGGTCATCACGAGCAATCCCCAAAATGGCTGCCTGGTCATGCTAAGCAAGATGGTCGCTGCCCTGCTGACTGCCCCCGCCTCCGCCTTCCCCCCCTCTCATGAACGTCCCACTCTCCCTAACGAGTAGAAGATCCCTAAAACGGCTGCTTGGCCGCGCTCAGCCAGCCCGCATGCCTCCTTCCCCCTCGTTAACACCACTCTCTCCCTCACGAGCAGGGCCACCACCAAAATGGCCGCCCGGTCACGTCAAGCGACGAGATAGCTACCCCTGCGGCACGCGCTGAGCCCTGGGCGCCGGTCGGCCTCGCCCCTCTGGCCCTCGTGAAGAAGACGACGACAATTAAATCCGGACATCCAGCCCCGTGGCGCTGCCCGAGGGGCCGACTCTGCCCTGGAGGAGTGCGGTCCCCAAGATGGCTGCCTGCACCCATGCCAAGCGAAGGGGCAAAATGGCAGGTCCGTCCGTCCTCCCCTTGGGCCGGCGCCACAGCTCAAGACCGAAACGTCTCGTCTGCCCAAAAAGGGGCACGGGATTGAGATGGGGACCCCCGCGCCCGAGCCTTTGCCAGGAAACAAAATGGCTGTCGCCTCATGGCAAGATGGCCACCGCTCGTGCCAACCTGCAAGGCACCGTGCCAGCGAGCGGCCGGCTCGGGGGCATCGGGGTGGGATGCGGCTGGCTCTGGGGTGGGACGCGTCCCGGTGGAGACGGCCGGGCCGGGCCGGGCCTGTGGGCGGACGGACCCAGGCGACCGGGGCGGCGGCAGGTGGCATGCCACGTCACCAGCCCCCCCCT